TAGATAGATAGATAGATAGATAGATAGATAGATAGATAGATAGATAGAAAACCATGTATGTAGAGGAAAAGCCCAACTAAATAGAGGGCTACCTGGGCTAGCTATGTTGTACAATTGGTACAGAAATAAAAGGAATTGCTATAGATTTACTAATGGAAGAGAATGAAAATAGGACTTAACGGACTAGACATTGGGGCTAATGAAAAAGGACTGAAAGATGACTCCTGGGATCCTGCACTGACAATGACAGGGATGATGTTGCCAACATCTAGTAAAAGGCTTAGAAGCTGAAAAGGGAAAAGAATACTTCTGGTTTGTTACTGTTGGAGTCTACGAAGTACAGATATTTTGTAGGAAGCTAGAGTAGAGGCCCAAGCTTTGTCTTTGAGGTGTGATGTTAGAAACTGTCATGCATGAATGACTTCTAAAACTGCAGACTAGATACTAAGGCTTGTGCAGACACAAAATGAGAAAGAAAGTCAAATAGAGATGAAGAGGGTTTGACTAGCAACAAACAGAAAGAAAAGCAAAGCTATGTATGCCAATAGCAATTTATTTATTTATTATGTTTATATGTGGTCTTTCTAAGGAGGTGTGTGTGTGCATATGCGGACGCAAGATGACAAGCTTGAGGATCCTTCTTCAGGTTCTGTCTATCTTGATTTTGGGGACACAGTCTCTTACTGGAATCTGGAAGTCACCAAGTGGCTGACCAGCACCACCCAGGCCTCACTAATACTCGCACCATCACCTTCACCATTTTCTTTTTCTAGAAATCAAAGTCAGGGCTTCATGATTGTGTGGCAGACATTTTACTGGCTGAACTCTACACTAGTAGCCATAATTTAGATTTGTTAATCAGTGACAGTTTTCATAAAAAAGGGAAAGTTAGCAAATTCACATGATTCAGAAAACATCCTTTAAAAAATTATTTTTTATTTTATGTGCACTGGTGTTATGCCTGCATGTATGTGTGTGACATGTGAAGGTGTCAGATCTTGGAGTTTCAGACAGTTGTGAGCTGCCATGTGGGTGCTGGGAATTGAACCCAGGTCCTCTAGAAGAATAGTCAGTATTCTTAACTGCTGAACTACCGCTCCAGCTGCAGAAAACATTCTTATATTATGGGGAAATCAACAACTTTAATTACTGCATATTAACTAAAGACATTATTGGTAAGTCACAGTTGCTTATAACAGATAAAGATAAGATAAAAATAAGTTACACAAGGTATATATAATAAAGACATAACATATAAAAAACACTCTAAGACATATAACCTAAACATTTCCATATTATATTTTAGGATAATAACTTTTAGAACCATATACTTCCATTAATAAGGTTTATTATTATTTTTATTACATTTTTTAGTTTTTGAGATTATAATTACATTAATTATGCCATTTCTTTTCCTCCCTCCAATCCCTTCCGTGTATGCCCCACAAATGCTCTTTTTCAAATTCATAGCCTCTTTTTCTTTAATTATTGTTTTGTATATAGTAAAGTAAACATGTTTTTATTTTAGAACCCATTCTGCAAACTACGGTTTTAAGTACTTTGTGTTGGTTCCAGATACCTATAAAAAGGGTACACAGTCAACACAGGCAAAACCAGTAATTCTGGTTGTTAGCAACAAGTAGTTTGAAACAAACTGAAGAACACTATTCAGTTCCAACTGTCATGCACAATTCTAACAACGTGGTAGTAATCTATGTGCAGGAACTATGCTATGTGCAGCTGAATCACTAGCATGTATCAGGTCCTCCCCAGAGGGCAGGTCACAAACCACAAATGTGTCACTAATGAGTCTCTGAGTAAAGATCATTAACACTTAGCAATGTTATACTATAAAAAGACTCTAGGCCAAAGATAAAATAATCTTAATTTACTGGATATATAGTTAACAGATTTGCTGTCAGCCAATTAAAAAATAAACAAATTAGCAAAAAAATGTGGGTGATTATCTGCTGATTAATATTGTTTCATAGTATAATTCAAAATCTGTTACTGCTATTTTCAGACTGTTGCTATGAAACCTTTTAGAATGAAAATATATTCCATTGAAGCAATGCTTTAAGAAGGTAAGCTACTTCTTGTAACAAATATTTATTTCAAATTAGCCTTTGAAGTATAAAAATTACCTTTGAAAAATGTGGTTGCAGGTGACATACTTAGAAGCCACAGATTAAAAAATAATTCCCTTCCTAAATCTCTTGTAGAAACAATCAGATTTTTAAAAGAAGGTCTGGTTTGAAAATTTTATTACCCCATCCTAAATACTGAGAGAAAATTTAAGTTATAAGTGAATCCTAATAGAAAATCATTGTTTCATCACAATAAAATCACTCCCCTTTTAAAGCACTCAGATTTAAAACCAGCTTAATTCAAACTCCAAGAGTCACGGTGCAGTTGTCTTTAATTTGATTGCTACCCAGGGTACTTCAAACACAAGGGTAATTACTGACAACTAGGAAATATTAAAACTAGATTTGTTCTGTTTTAACTGTCTGTTTTCATCTCTTACTAATCTAACAGGAAGGCACTAAAAGGTCTTCAGCCTGTGCAATGAAGAAGCAATAGTGTTCAATCAGACAAGTCCCATATTGAGTATCAGATACCAAAGACCCAAGACTGAAATCACCGTGTCTAGACTCTCTGGCACCTGCCTTCACTTATTTACCAGTGACCAGAGGCCAACCCCCACCGCTCTCTGTGTTCTCATACACCTCTGCTGCCCCACCCCCCTACCCAAACATCTTTGAATGATTATGCCAGAACTGTGCATGCCGCAGGAATCTCTTCTGACTGGCTACTCCCTAGCTCTCCTGTTTGAAGTGATGCTCTGGTTTCTGAACTCAGCAGATAATGGCAGCAAGAGCAAAGAGGGCTGTCAGAAAGGACGTTCACCAGCATTCAGCTAAAAAGAAGCATGTAGATCAAAGTAGGACCAAACAGGACAACCGCGGTGGAAAACATGTGGATCACTCTGACGACTCTTGCCTGCTGTTCTAGGGCAAAATATTAAATAACACCATGACATCACTACCTAACCATGTACTTTGATTGGCCATTCTATTACCAATAAATACTTTTATAAGCATCTGGATAGCATTTGCACCTATTTAAACAAAACATGCAGCTCAGAGGTCTCAATAACAATGAACTGTTAATGTGTACTTTTAACTATTATTAGACTACAACCATTAACTCCTGGTTATCCAAAGACACTTACCTGAAACAATCCACCCACTGAGCCCAGTAAGATAATGCATTAAAAAAGATGACCTGAACCCAAATTTTGAGGAATAATGACAAATAGTGGAAGCAAATGAGAACTCATTGAATAATTACAGGCAATAAAGTACAAAGAAAGCAAAGTGATGCAATACTGGGAGAGATTTTGAGAAATGTGCATCTATGGTCACCTACTCTGGACATTTAGTATTTTCAAAAAGTGAACTCTGATCTAATTACGAGTTTGTCCTGTACAATACTTACAAGATATTGCACTATGAATGCATCAAAAATGAGAAAGACTCACATTTTACTAAAAGCTATACTTTATTTGCAGTCTAGACAGTATATATATTCATGTCATCTTATGTAATTTTAAAAATACAATCTCACTAAACATTCTCTCTGATCACTAAAATAGATATGAATCACTGATGAGCCATTGCATTTCTGCCTTCAAAGTTACTTTTTGACTTCTCTAAAAAATTCAGGTGTAATATTTGAAGATTTTTATTACTTAATTTTAAAATAAATTAATGGCAATAATTCAAAGAGAACAAAACTCACACTGACCCACAGACACTACCACCGTGATAGAGCTTTCTTTACTGCATAAGTCGACCGGGATGATGTGGTAAGTTTAAGCCCTACTGGAAGCACAGTCACTGCCCCAACAGAAGCACATTTTTATTTTCTGAAGGAAACATTCTAATTTCATTTCATTTTTTAATTTGTTTTCTACTATTCTTTTATTTTGCAATGAACATTGGGTGGCAACAAAAGCACATTAGCTTTTCCCTAAGTGTGTCAAAACTGAGAGTATGAAATAAAAGTTATAGACTAAATGGTTCTTCAGGAATAAATATATTCTAGACTATCACTTGGTTTTTATTAAATATTACCTCATCCTAAAAAGCTTCAAGATATTTACAATATAATTTGGTATATATAATCTTCCTATTCTTCCAAGAATCAAAATCTCACAAAGATTAAAAAAATAAAATAAAAAGTAAGGGAACAAATAAAGAACATAAAATTGTCAAAACTTGAATGGGTTTTGGAAATTTTGGCTCACAAAACCCTGATTACAAATGTTTTAAAAATTACATCATCAACATATATGATATCAGAACACTTTCTGTCAAGTGAACACAGAGGAAGACTGTTTTGAAAGGATGTGGGAACTTTGTACACACCAAGTTTTAAGCTGCAATTACAACCATGTCTAAAAATCAGTCTAAACAGGCTCCTCTTTCTGTGTCATTTAAAGTTTCATATTTTATATTTGAGATCACACATTCTACAAGAGTAGGATAACTCCAAATTCAAACTTCAATGTAATAAGTTCCCCACCTCTTCCTGATTTGTGTTTATTCTCTTTTAATGTTACTATTTTTTAAAACCTACATCTGGATAAAAAGTCATTCCTTGAGAGAATATATTTCTTTGGCTGCTTTCCAACTAATATCCTGTAGTCAATGAAGCTCAGACACTGCAAAGCAGAAACTTCTGGAAGCGTTGGAGCCAGGCTGCAGTGAATCACCTATAATCTCCTTGGACATGGCTACTGTTACTGTAAGCATGCTGGAAAGTTTGTCTACACTGCATGGACTATCAGCTGACACAGCTTACCACTGTGAAGACATGCTAAGTCTTCTTTGAAGGAGGTCTAGTGCTACATACACAACAAGTTTGCCCTCTAACACATGAGGCTAAGGAACAATCCTTTGAAATAGCATACGTTTTTAAATGCATGTAAGGAAAAGGTTAAAATTCCAGAAAAGCACATTTAATTCTGACTCATTAGAAAGAGTGAAAGAGAAACCTGAGCCGCCTTCATAATAGCAACGGGAAGTGGTACAGCCGGAAGTGTTAAGAGTTAAGAGTGTAAACCAGTCTTGCTCTTCGAGTTTTCAAAGCCTCATTTTTATTTTATCTGTGTATATCTTCTGAATTTTCTTTTGATATCTTAGAAACTCTTCCATAAAAATAATATAGTAAAATACCAATCAGTAGTCCAAGCATCCAGGATTCATGCTATTGGAGCTTCATTTACTGGTGACTTGTGGATACAAGAGTGAGTTCATGGATGTAAGCACACTGAGAGCATGATCAGTAAGTCTCTAGTTTTATAAAATAGGTTAAAAATAAGTATGCTTCTTTAAGGCTACAGACCTAACATATGAAATATATCACACAGATGAATTACAGAACCATTCTTGAGAACAGCACTATAAAAACAAAGAATTTGGATGAAGCATTTTGTCACCACAGAATGCAAAGTACTTAAAACTTTAAAACTATCAACAAAATAAAAAAGCATGGGACAAACATGGGAAATATTTATAACGTGACTGTTAAAACACTACAAAATTAATACTATATATCAATAATATTAATATGCCACTAGAAAAATTGAATGAAAATTTTAGAATATAATATAGATGTTAAAATAGTCATCTTCACCAATATTCTAGAAATGGAAATACATCAAAAATTTGAAGCACCACATTTTAGAGAAATAATGAAAACAATTATTGTTAATGGTAAAATGGTGGCTAGACATATAAACATTCTTTTCAGAAGGTAACTGAATCAATATGAAGACTCAGAGCTCTTTCTTATTGATCTAGGTATTCTGCTGTTATGAATTGAAGCTTAAAAAATAAAAACCTCAAAGAGGTGGATAAGCACTCATGACTGCAAAGATATAGACAAGCATTCATGACTAATTTTATCATGTTATCTTCATGTGCTTACATATGCTTAGATTTGATGCTTTTATGTGATAACCTGGAAAAATCTAAACATATGGAGGACAATAGGGAAGATGCTTAATCCTCATTCAGAAGGCCAAACAGGATAGACATCGGAAGTAGGAGAAGACAGGGAACCAGACAGGAACCTTCCACAGAGGACTTCTGAAAATCTCTACCCACCAGAGTATCGAAGCAGATGTTGAGACTCATAGGCAAACTTTGGTCAGAAGGCAGGAAACCTTATGGAAGAAGGGGAAGATAAAAAGACTTGAAGGGGACAGGAGCTCCACAAGGAGACCAACAGAGCCAAATAATCTGGGCCCAGGGGTGCCTGGAGACTGACGAATCAACCATGGACTATGCATGGAGAGGATCTAGACTCCCTGCTCAGATGTGGCCCAGGGACAGCTGTCTCTATGGGGTTCAGTAGTAAGGAGAGCTGCGGCTGTCACTGGCATGAACTTCATTGCTTGCTATTTGACCATTTCACCCTGGCAAGGTAGCCTTACTAGGCCACAGAGAAAGAGGATCCAGACAGTCCTGATGAGACTTGACAGGCTAGGATCAGATAAAAGGGGAGGAGGACCTCCCCTATCAGAGGACTAGGGGAGGGACATAGCGGGGAAGAGGAGGGGAGGGTGGGACTGACGAAGATGAGGAAGGTGGCCTACAGCCAGGATACAAAGTGAATAAATTGTGACTAATAATAATAACAATAAAAATAATGAAAATACTTAAAAATCTAAGCATATAATTTAACAAAATTTAATTGTGGTCATTAAGCATAATATACTATTATTAGAGATAGTTTGTGAAGAATATTCAACTAAATGAGTACATATATGATCTATTCAGTAAATAAAGTCATATATGAAAATGTTATATGTGATATAACCTAATATATTATTACTTTCATAACTTAAAAGGGGCTGGAGTGATGGCTCAGCAGTTGAGAGCACAGGCTGCTCTTCTAGAGGACCTTTGATTCTTAGCATCTACATGATGGCTCACAGCTGTCTGTAACTCCAGTTTCCAGGGACTGGGCATTCTCTTCTGGCCTCTGAGGGTACTGTATACATGTGGTGCACAGATAAACATACAGACTAAACTCATACACACTAAATAAATCTCAAAAAAAAAAAACCACAAGAAAGGTAGGAAGGTATTGGATATCACTGGAATATGGATAACCATTCTGTATTTGATGTGACAGGCATCAAGCACTCCAAGCAGTGGGGCTACCATTAAGCTATGTGCCCAGCTCTGTATTTCCAAAATTTTCATAAAAATTGTACTGTTAGTATTTTAAGGAACAGGAGATCTAAGAGAGAAAAGTGATATTTCTTTAAGAATAAAATTTAATATTTAATTTTTAAAAACTAGGTCTTTGAGGATTTTGTACAATGTGTTCTGATCATATTCATACACTTACCCCAAATCCTTCCAGACTCTTCCACCCCTTCCTTACCAAGACATCTTTGTGTCCTCTTTATTTTCACCTATCAAGTCCAATTGTGGTGCTAAAATAGTCTTCAATGTGTGACCTTCCAGAAGAGTACAGTCAACTACCAGGGGTGACATTCTTAAAGTGACTTTAAGGACTGTGCCCTAGTAGCTATCAATTGCTAAGAGCTCCCTGGCTAGGGACAAGCCTTTATCTCTACCTTCCTCTCCATGGTGAGGTTTGGTCTGGCTGTGAACCCTGCCCTAACAGAGTTCACAGGGACAGCTGCCCTTCTGTGTCCGGCAGACACTGTAGTCCTGCAGTCACCCACTGCTTCCAACCAGTACAGTTACACATGAGCCTGTTTTCTACAGCGACCCCTGAGCCTTGAGGAGAGAGGATGCAATACAGATATCCAATTTAGGGATGAACACAGTTCTTAAATGTTTTTCTAACGTAAGCCTCTTACCTGTGGTATGCAGTCAGTATATGCAAACATTGATTTAAAGCGGTCATCCATGCTTATATGATAAAGCACGCACATTGCTATTTGTTTGTAGTTTTCATTCCCTGGGAACAAAAAAAAAAAAAAAAAGCAAATCATGGGTAAAACGATATATGCCATACACGTTAATATACTATACTCAAGTTAGTGATGTTATATACTAAAAACTCTTAAACTGTTAAATCAAATATTTATATAACTTTGATCAGGAAAGCATTTGAGCACATTATTTTAAATCACACATTAATTGTGAAGCATCAAGACATATGTCCACTTTTTATGATATATTTTAGAAAATAATTTAATTCCTAAAAGTATACTTCTCCCAGTGACCTAGTATAAAGGACTCCCCACCCTTACAACTGAATCAAAATACATTTTAGTACAGTTGCCTTGCAGTCTTTATGTCTAAGATATCATAAATGCATATATTTGACTTTAATAAAACCTAGAAGACCAGTGGGCTGCTGAAACAAGTAGAAAAGCATCAGTAATACAAAAAATAAACTTTCACCAGAAACTGCTAAAAGCCAAAAATTCGTTATAGCCTGGGAAAGGTCCCTGGAGTTCTGAGGCTAATATTGTTCTGTGGTAGGGATTTCGCTCAGTGTAGAGGGCCTTGCCCAGCATATATAACCTCTTCAGTTTGATCCCAAGATTAGTATGTTTACCAAGGTAATCAATAACAATAGTGACTAACAGTAACCACTATTAGGTATCTACCATGCAAAAGAGCCATACTTCAGACACAGCTGAGCACTGAGTGTTCAGAATAATCTTCCAAAAGACCTTATCATCTTTTACATGAGGAACCTCCAGTTTAGACAAACTGGTACTTATCATATGCCCTTGGAAAGTTGGGCAAGGATTTTAACACAGGCTGGTCTGCTCTCAAGCCCTCCTCCCAGGAATAATGGTCTTAAAAATTCTTATACAATAGAAAGAAACATTTTTCCACACAAGGTATTATTTTCATTTGTCGAGAACTTTAAACATTATTAGATAATAAAATGAAGTACATCTTTCAAGCAGAATTATTTTAAATTGAGACAACATATCTTTTAAATTTGGTTGATTTTGGCTTTCTGAATGGGGATTGAGAAATTGTGAGAAGGGTCATGAATGATCCCAACTCTGCTCAGAACATGTAGCAGGAAGATCACAAATTCAAGCCTGGCTTACATAGTGAGTTCAAGGCTAGACTGGCACTTTAATAAGAACCTGCTCCAATGTAAACATCATCAACAACAAAATAGGACTGGAAGTTTAGCTCCTTGGTCGAGGGCCCATGTAGATATGTACAAGCCCCAGTCCAATTTCTAGTTCTGCCAGAATAAATCAGCAACAACAAGAACTCCTTTGGATTAAAAAAAAATTAATGTGTACCATATGTTTCACATATGAAGACAAGTAAATATTTTTATCTTAAATAAAATTATGAATTACTAATTCATCTACTTAAGATAAATATATGTGGTAAAGGAATTTTATATCTGAAACATTTATTTTTTTCTTTATAACATTATAAGAAGTAGAAATCTGTATTCATGAGAGAGTACAGTTTGTATTTGTTGTTTTAAGACAGGGTTTCTCTGTGTAGCCCTAGATGTTCTGGAACTAACTATGTAGACCAGGCTGGCCTCAAGCTCACAAGAGATTCACCTGTCCCTGTCTCCTAGTGCTGGGATTGTGCACCACTACACAAGGTCACTTTGGATTATTTTAAGGTAAATTTCTGGTCTCTTATTTGAAAATAAACAAACAAAAAAGCTGAAAGAAACCTGAGGAGATATGTGGTATGAATAAAGACCATCATCTTAAATGTAAAGGTAAGAAATAAAAATGGAGGAGAAAGTAATATTTAAAATCTTAAGATGGAGGCCAGTAAGCCAATAGCTATACAAAGCATAAGATTTCTATTTATTATTTGAAGGCATGAATTTTTAGAGAAGTATGGATTTAAAATGGTCTAATTGGATATATACATGTAGAAAAATGCAAGTAGATCCATACTTATCACCTTGCACAAAACTAAAGTCTAAGTAGATCAAAGACCTCAACATAAAACCAGACACACTGAACCTGTTAGAAGAAAAAGTGGGGAAGAGCCTTGAACTCATTGGCACAGGAGACAACTTCCTGAATACCAACAGCACAGGCTCTAAGAGCAACAACCAATAAATGGGACCTCATGAAACTGAAGAGCTTCTGTAAAGCAAAGGACACTGTTGTCAGAAGAAAATGACAGACTTCAGACTGGGAGAGGATCTTCACCAACCCTATATCTGACAGAGAGCTGATATCCAGAATATATAAAGAACGTTAAGAAGTTAAACACCAACAAACCAAGTAATCCAATTAAAAAATGGGTCACAGAGATAAACAGAGAATTCTCAATAGAGGAATATCAAATGGCAGAGAAACACATAAAGAGATGTTCAACATCCTTAGTTATCAGTAAGATGCAAATGAAAACAACCCTGAGATTTCACCTTACACCCATCAGAATGGCTAAGATCAAAAACTCAAGTGACAACAAATGCTGAAGAGGATGTTGAGAAAGGGGAACCCTCTTCCATTGCGGTGGGAATATAAACTTGTACAACCACTTTGGAAATCAATTTGGCACTTTCTCAAACAATTAGGAATAATAAATACCTCAAGATCCAGCTGTACCACTCCTAGGCATATATCCAAAGGATGCTCAAGTATACAACAAGGACATTTTCTTAACTATGTTCATAGCAGCTTTATTTGTAATAGCTAGAATCTGGAAACAAAACAGATGTCCTTCAATGGAGGAATGGATACAAAAATTGTGGTACATTTACACAATGGAATACTACTCAGTAATTAAAAACAAGGAAACCATGAAATTTGCAGACAAATGGTAGGAACTAGAAAAGACCATCCTGAGTGAGCTATCCCAGAAGCAGAAAGACACACATGGTATCTACTCACTTAAAAGTGGATATTAGACATATAATATAGGATAAAAATACTAAAATCTGTACACCTAAAGAAGCTAAGCAAGGAGGAGGACCCTGGGTAAGATGATCAATCCTCATTCAGAAGGACAAAGTGATAGACAATGGAGCAAGAGAAGACAGGGAACAGGACAGAAGCCTACCACAGTCGGCCTCTGAAAGACTACTGATCGAAGTATTGAAGCAGAGGCTGAGTGAGACTCATAGCCAAACTCTGGGCAGAGTACAGGTAAACTTATGAAAGAAGGGAAGACAGAAAGACCTGGAGGGGACAGAAGCTCCAAAAGGAGACCAATAGAGGAAAAAAAAAACCTGAGCTCTGGGGGCCCTGCAGAGACTGATACCCCAACCAAAGACAATGCATGGAGAGGCATAAAATCCAGGCTCAGATGTAGCCCATAGACTCAGTATCCAAGTGGGGTCCCTAATAAGGGGAGCAGGGGCTTTCTCTGGTATGGACTCAGTGAAAGACTCTCTGATCATCTCCCCCTGGTGGGGGAGGGGCAGCCTTGCCAGGCCACAGAGGAAGACAATACAACCAGTTCTGATAAGACCTGATAGGCTGGGGTCAGATGGAAGGGGAGGAGGACCTCCCATAGAAGTGGACTAGGGTAGGGACATATTGGAGGGAGGGAGGGTGAGACTGGGAGGAGACAAGGGGGAGGGTGCTACAGCTGGGATACAAATTGAATAAATTATAATAAAGGATAATAAAAAATAAAGAAAAAATACAATATTTGATACTCTTACAAATAAAAGCAGGTATGCCTGATGCTAATATTTTGAAATCAGAGCAACTACAATTCATGGATTTTAACAATCATATTTTATATTTGACACAATTATGCTTACCAATCACAGAACATCATGTTTACATAGGTTTTTATGGTATATGAGTGCAAAAAAAAAAAAAAAAGATTTCACAGAAGGCTGTTATCTTTTGTTTTGACTAGACAACACACATTTTTAGTTCCCTGCCAAGTGACTGAGATACATCTTTTAAAATTAAATATTAGGGAAACTCTCATATTGTAAAGACCATCATCTTCTTGTTTGTCTAGTTTTTTTCTACAAGAATCCTGGACCATCTTGTATGATTTTCTCATCAGCCATAAACTCCACCTAACCTATCACAGCCCTTCTATATTCTTTGCATGGCAGGCCTTCCAAATGAGAACTCCTTTAAAAGTTATTTATAGCAACTTTCCCTAATGGCATCCAAAGCAAAAACAGGCTGCCAGCCATGAGTATGTTGGCATGGGACTAAGGGCTCTGCGGATTTTGAGCAAAGCAGTGGACAGATGGAATATTTTGGGAAGTAGATCCTAATATCTGGATGTGAATTAGTCAAATCTGTTCAAGTAATAAGGACAAGGCTGAAAAAAATGGCCCAGTCATTATGATTCCTTTGGTATTTATGGCAATAAACGTGAATTATGATGAAGTCGTTGGCTATTAAATGCAGAGGTTATAAGCACTTTGATAGGATTTCCACAGGAATTCACCGTTAACTAGCTGGATCATTATTTGAATGGGTTACTGAATTATCTTAGCATTTGTGCAGCCATTCTTCCCAAAATTGGTCATTCCCAGCTGAGGGCAGCTAATACCTTAACAAACTGGCCATTAACTCCAGTAACTGTTTTGTGGGAATTATTGCACTTATAAAGTACATTCAAGTGTTTATAAGAAGTATTGCCCCCTTTTCTTTTTAAAGAAATTTATAGGTGTAATTCAGGTGGAGCAGCTGAAGCAGGAAGAAAATCAGCTTTCTGGACTGCTCTCATGATCGATTTTTCTGCCAACTAAGAGGCAAACACATGGTGATCAGTTTTGAGTTTTAAATATCTTCTTTTTTTTTTTTTAAATCTCTGATCAGTAGAAACACCACTCAGTCACTAATTTTGTAAGGCACTGGAGACTTTCCACGTACAGATCACTCAGGAAGAAATATGAGTTTTGAACATTAGAATACAAAATCAAATTTCTGCTCTTGTTACAGACTCAGGTCGACAGTACAGAACAGAGTGAGAACACACATTATGACGTGCATTATTAGCCAGACTCTTATTCCCTTC